GACTCACATCCCTGCTTGCCCTTTCCTTTCTCCCTCCTTCCCTCCCTGCCTTTTCTTCGGTGCCCCTCTCCCTTCTTTCTTTTCCTTTCAGTTTCTGTCTCTCCCTTCCATGTATTTCTACCATTTCTTTAATGAGAGAGACAGAGAGTGGTTCCCTCTGTCGGGACTTGCTGTGCCACAGTTCCTGCGGCCAGGCTCCCAGCCGGGTTCATGGCCGTGCCAGGCTGTCCGGGCTGAGCTGGGCCACGCCAGGGTCCACGTGACTCCGGTAGTGGCTACAGAGTCCTGCCCCGCAGCGCCATGGCTGGATGGCCTTCAGGGTACGTCTGAACCCTGGCTGGAGGTTAGAACCACTCGGGGGATTTCCTTCAGTGTAGATGCTGGGCCCTGGCCTAGACCGATTGGACCGAGCTGGGATATTCTGTAGAGGGGCTCCACCGCTGTGTTTGGAAGAGCTGCCAAGATTGTCTGTGTGTGTGTGGGGAGCGTACAGAGGTGAGAACCCCCGGCTGAAGGTAGGGTGCAGGCAGTGGGGGGTCCTTGGAGAGGAACCAGAGGGCAGGCGTGTTCAGGACAATCTCTCTTTGCTTTAATGTCCTGTGTTTTATTACTTTCCCCCGCACAGGTAGTGCTGTCTGACATGTAGCTTACATGTAAAAGGCATGAAATAAAGTGGACAGTTGTGTTTGAAAGGAAGAGCAGTCTCATTAGAAATGCACGGTGTGGGGCACTGTGGGCGGCGTGTCCTGGGACTGTCACAGAGCCGTGTAATCACAGGACACGTTCCGCGACGTTCCGAAGCCACCGGTTGAAGACTGCGCTGCTGTGCCGCGGCCATGGGCAAAGGGCTGCGGCTTTGAAGAGTGACGTGCACGCTGGGCGGGGCGCGGGCTTCGCCGTCCTTGGGCACGCACACGCAGCTCTGCCACCTAGTGGCTGTCGCCGGCAAGTGTCGCGAGCTCCCTGACCCTGGCCGTCCTGAAACCGCACGTTTGCACCGGAATTTGAGTGAAACTCGTGTGCAGATCACTGGGTGAGGGGCCTCGCCCTGGCACCCGCGAGGACTGTGAGAATCCTCGTAGAGTGTACACATTTCTTCAGTGGATTAAACAGCATGCCGAGTTTTGTTCTAGTGGGAGGTCGGTGCACTGATGCGGATGGACCATCAGGGGGCACTGCAGTCCTCTCTCTCTCCAGGGGCAAATAGAGATCATTGTGTGTGTGTGTGTGTGTGTGTGTGTGTGTGTGTGTGTGGAATATTTACATTATCAATACATACAATTTGGGTATTCTTCATCTAACATGCTTGAAAGCAGGTGTTTCGGAGTGTGCATTTTTTTAAATCTTTGGAATGTGTACGTATACATGAGCTGTTTGGCAATGGGATCCTCACCAAAACACAGAATTCATCTATGTTTCCGTAAGTACCCTTTACACAGAGCCCGAAGGTGTCTTATACGACAGCTTTGTGTTGCAGCATCTGGCCTGTGACCCCTCACCTGAGGTCAGGTGTGGAATTTTCCATTTGTGGTGTCCATGTCAGTGTTCCAAAAGTTTCAGATTTTGGAGCATTTCAGGTTTCAGATTTTCAAATTAGAGATGCTTAAACCTCCTAATAGTATTTGTGTATCAGGTGCTTTCATTCAAGATCTCTGATTTTGAAATAACATTCCAAAAGCGTCAGAACCTTCCTTCGATACTTTGGTCACAGCTTTTTGTTTGCTGTAGGGTTGTGTGCGCTTGCTGGGGAGAGAGAGAAGGAAGGAAAGCCAGCCCTCGGGGAGTGGCCACGCCATCATCTCCCCTCCATTCTCTCCTCGGGATTTTGGGCCTGCATCTGCATGTGTTTCCAAGCCACTGGGGCCAGGACTCAAACCATGCAGCCGGCCATGTGGGGCCCAGCCACCAGATGGCCCTGGACATAGCGTTTAACACCAGCAGCTGGAAGATGCGTGGTCTCTGCTGCCGGGGGCTGTACCACCCATGGCTGCCCTTGGTTTTATGCGTCTGTGACGATATTACACAATTTTGTTACACTTCTCAGGGAAACCTCAAGCTTCTTTAAGGTCGCCCTCGCACAGGTGGCCTAAGACCCAGCTTCAGCATGCCCTCCAGTCTGAACTAGTGTCTCCCACCGAGTCCAACTGGACAGTGTTTAAGCTTGAACAAGAGGAAGGGGAGGGTTAGGATACGGGTCTTCAAGCGTTCTGGGAAGATTCTTCCCTTGTAATCTGCTTTTCGCGTTTTCAGCACGTTTGCCGTTATCTGAGCCAGATATTAGTTGACAATTGAGCAGCATCTCGTCACTTTAGATTTCCGATTTCCCTCGACCTTAAGCCACTGAGACTGTCTCTGAAATAGCATCTGAAAGTCCCACTTAATTCATGCACGTAGACTAACAGGGGTATGTTCTGACCTTCTGGGGCACCAAGAATCAGTTTATCCTGATACGGGACTATTGCTAAAATAAAGACTATAAACTAGTCTTTATTTTAATGACTTTCTTTCAGTAGTCTCTAAATGCATGCATTTGTTTCTGTTTAAGTAAAAAATTCAACCTGGTAATACTGAAGTTAAAAAACTGAGACCTGCAGGGGCCAAAAGGTTGCATAGTGGTTAAAGCACTGGACTCCCACATGGCTGACTGCAGTTCAAGGCCCAGACCCGACGGCTTTACAGTCACAACAGTTGCGTGTACGTGCGTGCCCAGAATCCCAGGAGGTGTATGGAGAAGGGATTGAGGCTTGGCCATTACCCCGGGAATGGTTTCTTACTTTCCTTCTTAAATGTCTCTGTCTCTCTCTCGTGAGCACACACATCCTATGGCAAAAACCTTAAAAAAAATTAATGAATTGTTAAAAAGAAAAACAAACTGAGCTCTACAAAACTTGGGTAAGTAGAATCAAGTGAGAGGACACCACCTAGTGGACAAATTGTGTAACCCCGCTCCCTTGGCTCAGACTGGATGAAGTTCTACAGCAGCGGCTTCAAGACAGTAAAAAGCAACTGGGGAAAAAACAGTTTGTTCACGATTGGGAAAAGAATCAGAAATGTGATTTTATCTGGTATATGGATGTATATTAAGAGAATTTCTTCTCACATTTAGCTTTAAAATGTCATAATTCCTGGGTCAGGAATCATTAAGGGGGTCAGAGCCTACATGGCCGACAATGGTTCACATCCCAGCCCCGGCATGCTGGGTATGTGTGTGTTCCTTAAACCGCATTGGATGGAGAAATGGGAGAGGAGGATTGCGGTGTGACCACACTCCATTGGGAGGTACTTCCTCCCTCCCCTTGTCTTTGCCTCTCTGGCAAGTGTGCATGCCCTCTGGTAATTAAAAAAAAATTAAATGAGTAATTCCTGAATGACCATATTTATATTCACTGCTTACCAAGATATTTTACTAATTTGTTCTATCGATTGTATTTTTACTGACTGTCGCGATGTCTAATTAGCTCGCTGGATTGTAGGTGGGAAAATAAATGGCCTTATGTAGGACAGCTTAGAAAAAATTGACGTTTTGAAAATAAATGTGTTCATTCTAAAATGGAAATCAAAGGACCTGAGTGTTAATTCGCTGTCACTGGATTTTAATTAGGTCGGTTGTTTCGATCTTGCCTTGTCTGGGGAGGTGACAGACTTATTTTAACTTTTCTGCATCTTGATTTCTTCTGCTGCGAAATGAAGGTTTGCTGCTACTTTAAAAAGGTTTATTGGATGGACGTTTGTGGGTCCAGCACGTTGGTAGGTATGGAAACAGTGATGAATACAATCCAGTTCCTGACACCCAAGAACACAGTCTTCAGAGGAAATAGCTAACGAAAGAGTTTTATATGAGGCAGTAGGAGCAGGGAAATACAGAAATACCGAGGAACAGTAGCCAACTCAGCCCCTGGGTCAGTGGGGTTATAGTCACGGAAGGCTGCCTGGAGTCCAGACCCTCTAGTTGCAGTCTTAGAAAGGAGTGGGAATTCATGAGCGAGGAGAGCACCGGTCCTGTCAGCGTGAACGTGGGAGGTCCTGCGGACGGGCATCTGACAGACGAGGTGCCTGGGGACTCTTACGGGAATCGAAACACTCCTAGGGGTGTGGCCCGAAGGCCTGCTCTTGCTGAGGAGGGTGGCAGAGGGGCTTCAGGAAGTGTCCCTGGGGCCTGCACTGGAAGGACTGGCAGGCTTAGTTTTCCTTAAATCATGAAGGGTAACATATGAAGTCGTGAAATGAGACCATATCTGATTGTCTCTTACCCTGAGGTTCTGTTTTTGAGTTGGGAGTGGTGTGTGTGTTTTGTCTGGTTTAGTTTGGTAGCTAATAGTAAAGAAATAAAAGATAATTGGACTATTGCTAATGCGAAATACAACTTTTAAAGGTATTTGATTGATAAAATGGTTTATTTTTATACTAATTTTAATGATTTATTTCTGGCTCTAAAAGATCCAATGTCCCCAGCCAGCCAGAGGCATGGTGGCTAAGGTGACTGGAACACACATAGCCAACTAGGTAGTTCAAGTCCCGGACCTGAAGACTTGAAAAACACACTGGGCGTGTGTGCACACATGCCCACAATACTGAACGAAGAATGGAGGAGACGGGTTCGTGGTGTGGCCATCTTTCTTGCAGGGTGCTTTGCACTTTCCCTCTCTGATGAGTACACGTGCCTTGATGCAAATTGAAAAAAAAAAAGAAAAAAAAAGAGGCCGACAGGTGGCATGCTGGTTAAGGCACTGACCTCCTATATGGCCAACGATGGTTCGAGTCCCAAGCTTGGCAGCTCAGAAAGCACGCTGGGCGCATGTGCACACGTACCCAAACTGCCGAGAGGAGTGTACAGGAGAAAGGGTGGGCACGGCCGTCTCCACTTGGGTGATTCCTCGCTTTCCCTCTGTCTCTCTCCAGCAAGTGCGCGCGCCCAGCAAAAACAAATTTCCTTTTACACATTAAACGGTCTATGACAACTCGGTGCAGTCCTTACACGGACACAACTTTTATCTTCACAGGTATAGGCTAGTTCCAAAGGTTTATTTTCCTGAGCAAATTCATGACGTGGCACGTGCCACAAAGTATTTCCTGCAGCCCGAAGTCCTGAGGAAGTACACGGTAGACCCGAGCAGGATCGGCATATCTGGTGACAGCGCTGGTGGGAATCTGGCTGCTGCCCTGGGGCAACAGGTAACTGCCCCTCGAGGGGCCGCGGTAGGAGGGGTGGGGTTCTCCCGGAGACCATGCGCTCTCCGTGGCTGCGGCGAAGGCATCGGGCGTGCTGGCCGCTAGACCACAAGTTATTCAGGGGCCTCCGTGAGGTGGGAACGCAGGTTGTTGCAGGGTGTCACGTCTGAGTGCTTGGAAAGGCTGTGAGTCAGAGAAGAGCTGACATTTCAGAGGGCTCCCTTCTTCCTCAGGCCTATGCAGGGAAATAACGTATCCCTTGCCCATGTCCATGGTCGACTTGCAAAATGGGGTATTTTTGCTTGAATTCCAGTTCTTAAATTGTTTCTATAGTACTTTGAGCTAAATTTAAAATCCATAAGTGTTGGGCCAGCAGATGGCATGAAGGGAGGCTGGACCCTACATGACCAACTGTGTGGTTCGAGCTCCGGACCCAGTGGCTGTGCATGTGTGTGTGTGCATGCCCAAAATTCCAAGAGGAGAATGGAGGCGAAGGGATTGTGGCATGGCCATAGCCCCCGGGGGGGGATTTCTCTTCCTTTCCGTCTGTCTCTGTGTCCAGCAAGTACATGCACCTTACAGAAAAAACAACAAGAAAAAATTAAAAAGTGTTTGCCAAGTGATTTTTTTTAATATGAAAGGAAGCAGTTTAAATTGTTCCATCATTTAAAATGTTATATTACAAGTTAATCTGAGCTTTGCCTGGTTAAATTCTTGGAAAACCGTGCCTGGCCCTGCCAGCACCCGGATCTCCTGGTAGCTGTCTGAGCCCAGAGATGAGCACGGAGTCTCCTTTGCCCTTTTAAGGATGAATAACTTGGAAAGTGCACGCTGCCTCCTCACCTCCCAGTTTCCTTTGGTTTCCTCACATAGCACCTGCCATTTGATGTGTGACGTGCCTCAGTTATTTCTCCCTTGGTTAATCAATAATAATTAACAATAAAGAACTTGATTGTTCACATGGAACTGGCCACTTTATTATCCATCCGCCAGATATGGTCAGAAGGAGGCCCTGGTACACTGAGGAGCGCATCATGGGCCTGAAGGAAGACAGAAGTGGGATCGAGTCCAGGCCTCACCCTCGCTGACCCTGGCGAGATGAAGATAGGGTCAGCGGGTGGAAAGACTATCCGGGGACTTAGTGGGATGAGCTGTATTCAATTTTTTGGCATGCACTAATATGATATATGAATGCTATGTATGGATTATTACCGCCTGCTTTTACGGTTACCAGGAGGTGGGTTCTAAAGGTCAGGTGGAAAGCAAAGTCGTCTGGCTAAAGTTCCCTAGAAGATCGTTTGGTTGCTTAAGAGGCAGGGTGACCTAGCGAGCCCCCTTTTGGGTATTGTGACAAATATACAATTTTAGGCCCTCATTGTATAACGGAGCAGATAGACACACCGCAGGAGGCGCGGGGAACTGAGATCTGTCGAGACGGGCTTGATTCCCAGTGCCGCGAAAGCTTCACTCTGCGGCATGGCCCGTGAGGGAGAGGTGGCATGCACTGACCGCGCTGTTTGAATTCTTGGTCTCTCAGCGAGCATGGAGACTACATGCTCCTCAGAGGAGGCCCCTCGGTCCCCTGAGGTCCCGCTGAAACCCTGGAGTCCCATCCTCTGCCCTTTTAGCTTCTCCTACGCCACTCTTCTGAAAGAGTAAGACTCATTTTTTTTCTCGTTGCCTTTGGGGGACTCGTAGAGAAAAATAATAATAAGTTCACATGTTATTCCTCCAGAATACCCAGTAAGATGTGCTTGGTGCCAAAGACAGTCACAAGCAAGTGCTGACGGGGCACAGACCTGAGGGATCGCATACCCTAGAAGGTGGTGCACAGCAGGGGGCAGGCCTCCCGCCTTTCTTAGTGTATCTAGCAGCTTGGGAGGACGGTGGTGGGAGGGACGGGGAATTACTCTTCTGCCTCACTATATCCGTAACACACGCCTGATTAAACGTAGCCCCTTGACTTTCGACAGTCAACCTTTGACTGACTCGAAGTACCTGGCAAGCTACCATTACAAAGCGTGGTTTCTAGAAGGAGCCATGCAAAATAAACAGTGTATCTCCATCTTGTTCTACAGTTCAGTCAAGACGCCACCCTGAAAAATAAGCTCAAGCTGCAAGCTTTAATTTACCCGGTTCTTCAAGCCTTGGATTTTAACACACCCTCCTACCAGCAAAACGTCAACACCCCAATCCTGCCCCGCTATGTCATGGTAAAGTACTGGGTGGACTATTTCAAAGGCAACTACGACTTCGTGCAGGCGATGATCGTTAACAACCACACTTCTCTGGACGTGGCAGAGGCTGCCGCACTCCGGGCCCGTCTGAACTGGACATCCCTCCTGCCGGCCTCCATCACAAAGAACTACGAGCCGGTGGTGCAGGCCACGGGCGACGCGAGGATCATCCGGGAGCTGCCGCAGTTGCTGGACGCCCGCGCTGCGCCGCTCATCGCGGACCCGGAAGTGCTGCAGCACCTGCCCAAGACTTACATCCTGACGTGCGAGCACGACGTCCTGCGCGACGACGGCATCATGTACGCCAAGCGTTTGGAGAGTGTCGGCGTGGACGTGACCCTGGACCACTTTGACGATGGCTTCCACGGCTGCATGATTTTCACCAGTTGGCCCACCAACTTCTCGGTGGGAATCCGGACTAGGAATAGTTACATCAAGTGGTTGGATCAAAACCTGTAAAGAAGGGAAACTTCCAGAAGGCTCAAGCCCTTCTAGATTTCGTGCACCTGCTTTGGAAACGTATGCACTTTGTGATCGATGAATCCTACCCCTCGCACTCTGTTACTCGTAAGTTATGGAATCTCTTCTCCCTGCAGACTTCAGGATCTAATTTTAAAAATGAATTTGACTGACTTAAGTGCAAAAACATTCGAGTTTGGTCCCCAAAGGGGCCAGTCTCTCTGTTATTTTTAATCAAGTACAACCGATACCCACAGCTACAGAAAGCAGAACTAGGAACTGGAAATAGCTTTGGGTCCTGCCTTTATCAAGATAGTCTTTTCAGAAGAAATCCTGCCAGCTGTGGCTGATACAACGATCTTCAATAATTTAAGAAAATGTGGGCTCTTCTTCGACACGTGGGAGTTTACCTTGGGTTCAGAGCGGTGATAAACGTGTTCACTTTCAGCTCAGTGCTGGGGACCAAGTGCCCTCTGTTCTCCGCGGATGGATGATTTCGTTTCCTATGGGAATTTCGGCAAAAGCTTTCTAGCAAGGACTCATTTCTCAAAGAATGTTCTTGCTTTAGAGGGTTAATTTTGAGAGAGAATTATCTTTAAGTCCAGTTGGATTATAATGATACTTGAAAGTTACTTTCTACACTATTATTAGAAAATAGGAGGTTGCATGCACTGGATATTCATACATTGTTAAGTTTCTGTTGTTTTGGTTGTGTTGTCTCATTGGGGAGATCATTTGGATGCAAATTTATTTAGATGTAGAATATAATTTCCTCTTCAGCACTAGGAAAAGCAGAGAAATAAAACAACCAATTGTTCATAGAAACACTTCTGACATAAATTGGCAGTGTGTATATGTTTGGCATAGTCAGAAAATACATTTATTAGTTTAAACTGATGAAGAATACCTTTAGAAGATTTTGTCTATTGTTGAAAACTCAACTTTTTCACTTATGGCTTTAAAATGGGACTATTTTGGTATAATGTATGGTTTATTTTTAAAAGTTATTTAATGTTAATATATGTAATTAGACTTAGGATTTTGGGGAAAGACATCTGTAATATTTAAAATAATGGTATTTTTAAAAAAAACTACTATCATAGGGTTTAAACAATGATCTTAGAGTTATAGCCACATGTAATTTTATGGGAAGATATAAAATAGCTATTAATACTATTTCACATTAGGCCTGACGACTTTGATGTTTCTATGCATATATGAGCTCAGATACTTAGGAGCCGTGAGTGCACCTGGGAAGCCGTCCAGCTCACTCGTCCAGTAGCTCAGGCAGGACACGGTGCTCACCTCCACTCCCCACGGTGGAGGAGGACTGGCATCGTCCTGAGTGGGGGTCTGTCGGTACCTGTGTCCCCACCCCTCGTTTCTCCTTCCAGCCAGGTGCATGCGGATGTCCAGCAGCTCAAGCCGAGCTTGGTGAACCGTCTGCACTGCCAGTGGGAAAGCCTTTGGCAAGAAGCTCCAGTTCTGGTTGGAGGACCTCTGCCCCTCCTCCAGATACTCTTCCTTCTGCCCCAACCCATGCTCCCTTTAGGGACTGCAGCGAGCTGCCACACCAGGGAGTAACGATACACTGTGTCCATGGGAAGGAAGCAGAACCTTTTTATTTCTTTGAAGGATGGGTATGTCTTACTTCCAGGGCTGAAGGAACGAATGAAAATGTGCATACTTTTATTTATTGGGTAGGCCAGTAGCATTTTATGTACAGAAGTAAATGCAAGTGTGTGCCTGTGTGTGGATAAAGTCACTCATGCAGACAACTCGCTGACGCACTTAGGCAGGTCCCTTGTCCTCTCCGGGCCTCTCCTCCCTTTCCTGAGATGAGAGGCGAAAAGACGTAATCCCGAGATCTCTCGCAACTGTCAGTTCCAACTACTTTGCCAGACGGGCAAGTCATAGTGGCCTCTTCTTCCATTGAGGGTTTTCGGGTATCTCGTAATTCTGTAGGCACACATATATGCATCACTAAAGAATATTTTTTCCTAAAAGACTGGAACGTCAGTTCTTCTTTGATAAGTACGTTCCTCATGTAATATTATTCTTTTTAACACCGTTTGAGGGAAACAATATTTGGGCCTTTTTTTGAGGTCAACTACCTCTAAGAAAAAGTAAATATAAAACACGCACAGCTTCTGAAAATGACTCCCCCCCCCCAGAATTGTGAGCCAAATCTTATAGCAATTACTGTACAGACAACAGATGATTCTAGATCTTTAAAGGGCTCTCCCAGACGAAAAGGGAGTATAGAACAAAAGGGGTAACCACTATTTTTGATAAGTTACTTGAGTTTCATTGTTCTTTTAGTTTGGGTTCTGACAAAAATGTTTATGCTCCTCGGATTGACTCTTTTTAGTATTATGGCTTTGTTTTCCTGTTTTGTGAAAAAGTCAATAACCTTTTTGTAATATTGTCTGTGAAGTATGACTATTAATATATGAAGAACAAACCTTGAAGTGCTGCAAAATACAGTGAAGTGTAAACTACTCTGAACATGTTATCACCCACGCGTGAAGAATTCCAGACGATTGTATAATTATCTTCGCGGATAAATATTTTATGCATGACCTTTTCGCCTTTGGCTCTGCTTCTTTCCCACTGCAAAGGGGGAGGCAGATTTTATGAAGGATTTTAGTAGCAGATGTATTTTGTAAAATGAAAATCCAGTGTGGAGACGGGAAAGCACACGGCTGAATCTGCTTTGAGTCACGTGGGGAAATAAAATGGCTCCATCTGGAAACGTGCCTCTTTGACTTCCCCCATCTCCTCTCCTGCTGTCCGGCGGAAGCAGGCCATCTGGAAACGTGCCTCTTTGACTTCCCCCGTCTCCTCTCCTGCTGTCTGGTGGAAGCAGTGCTCCCTGTTTCTCTGAATTGCAGATCCCGAGCCAGGAGTCTGCAATCCTCTGCCCCCGAGAATGCGTGTCACCCACAGGGGCACTGACCTCGGAGTGTGGATGGCATTTCATTTCTGGTGCAGCGTGCTGCCCTGCCTGTGGGAACGCTGCTTCAGCCTGGCTGTGTTCGGAAAAGCCAGGAAGGCCCTGGAACTATGTGGGGCCCATTAGTCCACATAGTAGGAGAGGGTGATCATGCTACAGATGAGTGCGGGCTTGAACCATTTCAGCCAAGTGAGTATCGATATTGCTACCAGCACGGGCTGAAATTAATTGTCAGCACAAGCAGATCTAATCGTTCCACACTTGAGTCTGTGGGGCTCGGTTTCTATCACTCTCATAGGATTTTATAAAACGTTTTTTCCATGGGGCCAGCAGGTGGTGTAGTGGTTAAGGCATTCAAATTTCCACATGGCCAACCGGGGTTCAAGTCCCAGACCTGGAAGCTTGAAACCCCCACCAGGTTCATGTGCATGCTTGCCCAAAAGTCCCAGAAGGAGAATGGAGGAGAAGGGATTGCAGCGTGGCCACCCCCTGAGGTGTGATTTCTCGCTTTCTCTCTGTCTCTCTGGCGAGCGCACACACCCTATCGAAATAAATCTCTTTCTCAAAAACAAAACAATAACTTTTCCCCCCTAGAATGCATTATTTGTATTGGTTGTGAATTCTCACATACAAGTGTGTAATTAGGTTTTCCTTTTAGATTATAGTTACCTTCATCTTCAATCAGACCTTTGATGTATGGGCAAATTGTGCTGGAAGGATCCATAATAGCTCCTACAATTCTGTTTTGCAGCGCAGCATTTAAATATAAACTCCATCCCCACTCCGCACCAGCCCCCATCCCCACTCCTCTTTCCGGATGCATCCCCCCCGGCCCACCCCCCCATTGCTAGGTTTACTGCTGTTTCTATCTCACTCTGTCTGAAATCTTGCTGATTTAATCACGTGGCTGTTTTCTGTTTCCCCGCCCTCGAGTAACCTTCATGGGAGCGGAGACTTATCTGCCTGGTTCATTCCTATTTCCTTTGCGCCGAGAACAGAACACACAGTGGACTTTCAAAACATTCTTGAATACGTCCTTATGAAGAACGATTCTAGTTAAAAAAGAATTGAAGTATGTGTTTTTTATTTCTTCTAGAACTGAGTTTATATCAAATGTGAATAGTTACTTTTAGACTAAAAACTAAACATCCCCAAGTCAAACAAATTAAAAGTAATTTAAGCCCTTTTGGTAAAAGTAACTGAAAAGCTAGCTCTGCTGTTGACTAGCACATTTTACAACAAAAGGAGTTTTTGAAGGAATGGGGATTTCTTTTTTTTTTCTCTCACAACTCAACTTTGTTCTGAATTTTTTTAGTAGATATTGATATTTTTGCTATGTTGAATAAATCATTACAAATTAATCTCCATTCACATTCTACAACTGTCCCTCAGAAGTCAACTTGAGAGTTTGAGAAATTTGGGGGGGCAGCCAGGGCATGGTGGTTAAGGTGACTGGACCCCACATGGTTAAGCAGTTTGAGTCCTGGACCCGGCAGTTTGAAAAACATGCAAAGAATGTGTGTACATGTCCAAAGTCCTGAGAGGAGGACGGAGAAGGGATTGGGGTGTGCCATCCTCCCTGGGGCTGCGTTAGCACTTTCTTTCTCTTGTTCTCCCTGGATTGCACGTGCCCTAAAGGAAAATTTTAAAAAATTGAGAAACGGGGAACCAGCAGTTGGTGTAATGGCTATGTCGCTGGACTCCCACGTAGTCGACCGCGGTTCGCATCCCGGACCCGGTGGCTTAAAACTCACGCCGGGCGCATGTGCGTGCGTGCCCAAGATCCCGAGAGGAGAATGGAGGAGAAGGGATTGCGGTGTGACCATCCCCCCCGGGGGTGATTTCTCGCTTTCTGTCTCTGTGTCTCTCTCTGTCTGTCTGGCAAGCGCACGCGCCCTACAGCAAAAACCTCTCAAAAAAAAAATTGAGAAACGTTAACTGGGCAAAGACAGAAAGGGCAGTGGGAACGCACCCCCTATGGGGTGTAGCCATGCTGAAATCCCTTCCCTTCCCTCTCTCGCTCCCCCTCCAGGATGTTGGACACTCGTGCACATTCACTCAGTGTGATTTGTAAGCTAGCAGGTCCAGGACTCTGTGTGATCAGCCGTGTGAGGTCCAGTCACCTTCATGACTAGGCCATAGTCTGACCCGGCTTGTGTTATTTTAAAACAGAGAATCAAATTCTGTAGTTTTTTTCATCTGGTTATCAAGATACTCAGAAATAAAAAATTCTTATTTAACTGAGCAAGGTGTCATCTCTGAGTCTTCATTCCCATCCCTCTCCCGGAATGAAGCACTTCAGTTTGTGTCCTTAATCTGATTCATGTCTCACTCCAGGATGTGCTGAGCGATCTCTCTTTCTCCGGTGTCTCTAACACTCCATCTCCTTAAGCCCTCCTCTGAGCGCTAATAAACCGTCGACTGAGTCCTGCGCAGGAGAGCCTCCCTCTGCCCTTACGTCCATTTTCCTTTCCTCTAACACGGAGTTGTCTTTAGTTTAAAAAGTTGACAGATACGTGAACATCACAAAATTCTATTTCATGAAAGGTTCATTTTTAAAAAGTGTATGTTTGTACACACACACACACACTCACACACTTGACATACACCAAGAGAGTTTAAAATGCATGCCGCAATGTCGTTTTGTTACGTTCTGCTGAGGAACAAATTCTGAAACTCATGATTCAAGGCAACAGTCACTTCTTATGGCGCCGACAGAACTTAGCTTGCTGGAGCGCCTGCTCAATGCAGCATTGACTGAGGAGTCACGAGACAGGATTCTCAGAGTCGCGAGAGTCATGAGACAGGACCACGTCAGAGAGTCCTGTTGGGCTTGAACATCCCCGCTGGCTCACCCTGCGGCTGGCAGTGTGGGAGCTGCCGGCTGATTGCTTGGTTTCTCCTCTGCATGGCTTTTCCTGAGCTGGACTTCTAAAAACATGGCATCTGGATTCCAAGCTGGAGCAGTCTGAGTGCGCAAGCAGAAAGCTTTGTAGCTCCTCTAGTCCAGGTGTGAAAGGTCCCCACATCACTTTCGCCGCGTTCTATCGGTTGAAGCGAATCGCAGGACCAGTCCAGGACTAAGGGAGGGGCTCCCTATGAGAAGGGGCGAAGTGAGTTTTCTGCCATCTTCAGTGTACCACCGTCCTCGCTGGACGAGGACTTCCATTCTGACTGGCCATCCATGAGACCAGCATTCTCTCTTTACATTTTCATATGTCAATAAATGGGGGAACTTTCCACAGATGACTTCGGGACCCTGTACATTTCTAACCTAGCTTTCTCCGTCTTCTTAAACTTCCTATAGAATAAGTCCATATCGGAACACACCTGGACTGCACTTGAGCCAAGTATGGGATAGGGCTATTCGTAGAAGTCCCTGTCTTGGATGAGCCCGCAATCACTTAACCAAGACAGCTGCAAATCAGATAAGGACATCCCACTAAACCGGACTATTAATAAATGTATCCCCAGGTCAGTTTTCTCTTAGGAGTTCCCAAACATGCCTGCAGCCCCTCCAAAACATGTATCCTGGTGGAGAAGCCGAAGTGTAACGTCATCCTACACGTAAGTGCCTTGCCCTTCATGTGTGCTCTACAAACCGTTGGCAGGCGTCTATGATAGGACCCCTCCAGTTCCTTCGTGAGGGGCACATGCTCCGATTTTATGGTAAAGCTGCCTCCACACAGGATTTAGATCCATACGTCCACCTCCTAGGCGGGTCACCCTATAGCCCCAGTCTCCAACTACAAACCCTCCCCCTGCACTAGCATTGCCTACAGTCCCTGTCTCACCGGGCTGTGCTGCCTTCTCTCCAGGTACCTGACCAAGAGTTCTGAATTCGTCTCTTCCAGTCCTCCAACTTACTTTCTTTTTTTAAACCAAACTCATAACTAATTTTTATTTATGTTAATTATTAATTTTTTTCAGAGGCTTTTGCTATAGGGTGCGTGAGCTCGCCAGAAAGACAGAGAGAGACAGAGAGACAGAAAGTGAGAAATCACCCCCCCAGGGGAGATGGCCACGCCACAATCCCTTCTCCTCTATTCTCCTCTCAGGATCTTGGGCATGCATGCACACATACCCGGCATGAGTTTAAGTCATTGGGTCAGGGCCTCGAGCCCCGGTCGACTACATGGGAGTCTAGCGACATAGCCATTATGCCAGCTGCTGGTCTCAATTTTTAATTTTTGTTATAGTGAGTGTGTGCTTGCCAGAGACAGAGAGAGGGAGGGAAAGTGAGAGAGCACCCTCCAGGGGGGATGGCCATGCTGCACGCCTTTTGCCTGCATTTTCCTCTCAGGATCCTGGGCATGCATGCATGCATATGTGCCTTGCATGGTTTTTAAGCTGCCAAGTCCAGGATTCAATTGGCAGTCGGCCATGTAGGATCTAGCCGCCTTAACCACCATGCCACTGGCTCGCACCCACCGCTCCGGCTTTATCT